TGTGGATTGAGCATTCGACGGTTGGGCACCCGAGGACTGAGCACCCGAGGGTTGGGCGCTCGAGGAGGCGGTAGAACGTGATCGCTTTTGACGAGGGGCCATCTGCGCACACAAATATAAGAACGACGATTAGAATGTATGGAAATAAAGCGAAGTATAAGGATGGAGACACGAGTGTTCTGATACGATGAACAACCGTGGAAGTGATCAAAAGTCGGGTTAGAAGACAGAACCGATCGTTTCAGAAAGGGTGAAAACGATCGGTTAGAGTTTCTGAGCAAATTTCAACTTCTGATGGCCGAACCGATCGGTTCTTTAGGGCGAACCGATCTGTTCTGATGTCTGTAATTTCGCGAAATGAAACAGACCTAAAACGATCGTTTCATCAAAGAGAAACGATCGGTTCTCGTCTGAAACTACAGATTTGCCGGAAGAAGGTCGTGTGGAAATGGCCAAATGCAAACTAATGACAAATCGATCAACCCAAATCGAAGTACAGAGGATGAATAAGCATGGAAATCGACCTAAAATACAGCGAAAATCATGCAAATGGGTATTCACGCGAGTATGAGGTTTGAAAACTTACCACGTTCGATAGATCGGCGAAATCAAAGGGAGAGAGAGAGATGTCGAAGAGATCCGACAAAGGAGAGGTGATGGGGGTTGGTAATTGGTGAATGAGGTGGCGAATTTTGGTAGAAATCGTGGAGAAATGGCGAAAATGGCGAGAGAGGGCCGAAGGGGAAGTGAAGAAGACGAGGGTTAGGGTTACAGTCGGGCCACTCGAACTTACCGTCGAAACGATCGTTTCTGCTAAGTAAGAACCGATCGTTTCACCCTTTTCGCACGTGATAAGCATGGGAAACTATGAACCGATCGTTTGTATACATACAGAACTGATCGGTTCGTGACACTGAGCAGCATTCCATGAGTATGAGAAGGAACCGATCGTTTGGCTGGATCAGGAAACGATCAGTTCGTGGGCCTGAGCGGCAGATGGAGGGAAAGATCGAAATTCCCTGTATCGAGAGTGAGTGTGCAAGGAAAAGTGGAGAATATAAAACAATAAAAATAAATAAATAAATAAATAGATAAAAGCGGGAGAAATAAATATGCGGAAAAAAAGGATACGGGTTCGGGAGAAACCCGAACGTGCTCGTTTAAGGTCGTGAGCACAAGGACCGTAGTGGTATCAAGCTGGGGAGGGATCAGAGAGAGGGAGAATGCCTCTCTCAGAAGACGGTTCGTCGGGATTGTATAGCTTTACCCGTTGAGCATTTACTTTGAACGCTTTACCGTCAGAGCCCCAAAGTTCGATTGCACCATGGTCAGCGACATGTTTGATTGCGAATGGACCAGACCAACGGGATTTGAGCTTACCTGGAAAAACGTCATCGAGAATTGAAGACAAGGACACGATCGTTTACCTGGAAAGATCGATGAATGATGTGGCGATCATGCCAACGTTTAGTACGCTCCTTGTAAATTTTTGCATTCTCGTAGGCATTTAGGTGGATTTCTTCGAGATGATGGAGTTGTAATACGCGCTTTTCCGCCGCGGCTTTCAGATCGTAATTCAGAGTTTTGATAGCCCATAACGCCTTATGTTCCAATTCAACCGGCAGATGACAGGCTTTCCCGTATACCAGCTGGAAAGGAGTCATACCAATAGGAGTCTTGAAAGCGGTTCGATAGGCCCAGACCGCGTCAACGAGTTTCTGTGATCAGTCTTTGCGAGAACGGGATACGGTTTTCTCCAGAATAGATTTGATCTCTCGGTTAGAGATCTCGACCTGACCACTAGTCTGCGGGTGATAAGGAGTAGTAACTCGATGTTGAACCCCGTATTTCTTCAATAGATTCTCAATGACTCGGTTCACAAAATGAGTCCCTCTATCGCTGATTATAACACGCGGTACTCCAAAACGAGGAAAAATCACTCTCTGAAACATCCATGAGACGACTTTAGAGTCGTTCGTCGGACTGGCAATCGCGTCGACCCATTTACTCACATAATCGATGGCAACCAATATGTAGAGATTCCCACAAGAAGGAGGGAATGGGCCCATAAAATCGATCCCCCAGACATCGAAAGGTTCGACTTCCAGGATGAACTGCTGAGGTATCTCATGACGTCGGGAGATGTTACCAGTGCGCTGGTATGCATCACAAGAAGAAACAAACCGGTGAACATCTTTAAATAGAGAGGGCCAGTAGAAACCTGCTTGAAGGATCTTGGAGGCTGTCTTCGAACTAGCGAAGTGACCGACATAGTCTGAAGAATGACAATGGAAAATCACTCGCTGAACTTCTTCCTCGGGTATACAACGTCTGAACAATCCGTCTTTACCACGCTTGAATAAGAATGGCTTGTCCCAGAAAAAATCATGAACGTCATGGAGAAATTTCTTTTTCCCATTGTAATTCAGCTCAGGAGGAAGGAGACCACTAACCAGATAGTTGACAAAGTCGGCGTACCAAGGTGCTTCGGATTGTACGGATATGGCCATGATTTGCTCGTCACGAAGTGAATCATCGATCAGGATGGACTCGGGAATCTGTAGTCTCGATAGATGATCAGCAACACTGTTTTCTGTTCCCTTTCTATCTCGGATCTCCAAGTCAAACTCCTGTAAGAGTAGTGTCCAACGGATAAGACGTAGTTTAGCATCTTTCTTAGACAGGAGATACCTGAGTGCAGCGTGGTCTGTGTAAACGATCACTTTGGAGCCAATGAGATACGATCTGAATTTCTCGAATGCGAAGACAATGGCCAGCATTTCTTTCTCTGTCGTAGTGTAGTTTGTCTGAGCATCATCCAGAGTTCGGCTTGCGTAATAAATGGCATGGAGTTTCTTGTCCTTGCGCTGTCCAAGAACTGCGCCAACTGCATAATCATTGGCGTCACACATGATCTCAAAGGGGAGATCCCAATCTGGCGGTTGGATGATAGGAGCGGACGTCAGAGCTTTCTTCAGAGTCTGGAATGCAACGTCGCATTCAGCCGTATACTCGAATGTAGCTTCCTTGCAGAGGAGATCAGTGAGAGGTTTGGAGATTTTTGAGAAATCCTTAATGAACCTCCGGTAGAAGCCTGCATGACCGAGAAAACTGCGGATGCTTTTGACATTGCAAGGTGGAGGCAGTTTCTCGATTACTTCTATCTTGGCTCTATTGACTTCGATCCCTCTTTCTGAAATTTTATGTCCCAGAACAATGCCCTCACAAACCATAAAATGGCATTTCTCTCAATTGAGCACCAAATTAGCCTGTGAGCACCTCTCTAAGACTCGAGAAAGATTCATCAGACACACATCAAAGGAGGGTCCATGGACGGAAAAATCATCCATGAACACCTCCATAATATCCTCGATGACATCCGAGAAGATAGCCATCATGCAACGCTGTAAAGTGCCAGGGGCGTTACAAAGTCCAAAGGGCATACGTCTATAAGCAAATGTACTGTATGGGCAAGTAAACGTAGTCTTTTCCTGATCAGAGGGATGTATAGGGATCTGAAAGAAACCTGAATACCCATCGAGGAAGCAGAAGTAGGAATGCAGAGCGAGTCGCTTGAGCATCTGATCGATAAATGGCAGTGGAAAATGATCCTTCCTTGAATTGGCGTTAAGCTTCCTGTAATCGATGCACATACGCCATCCGGTGACAGTCCTTGTCGGTATTAATTCGTTCCGATCATTCTTGATGACTGTCATCCCACCCTTCTTTGGAACAACCTGCACAGGGCTAACCCAAGGGCTATCGGAGATAGGAAAGATAATACCTGCGTCTAGAAGTTTCATAACTTCTTTCTTGACGACCTCTTGAAGCTTCGGGTTGAGATGACGTTGATGTTCGATAGAAGTCTTTGTCTCATCTTCGAGGTGGATCCGATGCATGCACAAAGAGGGACTGATGCCCTTGATATCTCCGACCGAATAGCCTATCACTTTCCTGTACTTACGCAACATATCTAGCAATTTGCGGACTTGGGAAAGTCCAGATCGGCGTTAACAATAACAGGATAAGTAGATTTGGATCCAAGAAATTCATACCGAAGTCCAGTGGGGAGGGGTTTGAGTTCAAGCTCTGGTGCGGTGTCGCGATCCCATCCGAAAGTCGACAAAGAATCTAAATGGTTAATGAGTGCAAGAATAGATGTATCATGAGAGTCGAGTGATGTACCTGAGTAGGAGGGGTCGGGGAAAGCCACGAGAGATGAAAACGTGGTGTTTTGCAATTCTGAATGAGCAACCGATCGGTTGGAGATATTGGTGCCGATCGGTTTAAGTTTCTGTAAGGTTGATTCGAAAATCTGAACCTCAAACCGATCGTTTCTTATGCATGACACGTTCGGTTCTGATTTCTGTACCTCGACGCGATCAGTTCTCAGGACTGAACCGATCGGTTCTAAATTCTGTAACTTTGGGTCACAAATTCGATCCGCCAACCGATCGTTTCCACCAGATGAAACGATCGGTTCTTATTTCTGTAACTCAAAACGATCGGTTCTCAGAGCCGAACCGATCGTTCAAATTTCTGTAACTTTTCAACCTTTGGAATAGTACCGAAACGATCGGTTTCAAGGTGGAAACAGATCGGTTTGTCTCTTTATAAACTTTCGGCCACCATTGTGTCGATGGAATTGTCGTGATCCGGAATTTGTCCGTAAATCCACATCTGTTCAATATAGGTATAGATGCTATCATGCGATAAAAGAGTCAGTTCCAAGGGGTCTTCATGATGAAATTGATGCATTACCTTTTCAGCTAAGGATCCGAAGACGTCGAGGAAGCACGCAGATTCGGTTGACGACGGTTGCTTGAGATTTTTGTCCAGAGTAAACTCTACCGTCTCATCTCCAATCTTCATGGTCAACCTACCTGCTCTAACATGTATAACAGCATCTGCAGTGTTAAGAAAAGGTCGACCAAGAATGATGGGTACCTAAGAATCTTCGTCCATGTCAAGGACCACAAAATCCACCGGAATGTAGAAATTTCCGACTTTTAGTGGCACGTCCTCGAGTATTCCAGCAGGGTATTTAACGGATCGATCGGCTAATTGGAGAGCCATTCTGGTGGGTTTTAGCTCGCCCACATTCAGCTTCTTGAAGATGGAGAGTGGAAGAAGGCTGACGCTTGCTCCTAGATCACAAAGCGCACGATCGATGGACACATTGCCTAATGTACAAGGGATTGAGAAACTACCTGGATCCGACTGCTTGGGTGGTAGCTCATGTTGGATCAGAGCACTACACTCGGCGGTGAGTGCTATAGTCTCTTTTTCAACGACTCTCTTCTTAGTCTGGATGTCCTTCAAGAACTTAGTATACGAGGGAATCTGCAAAATAGCTTCAGTGAATGGCATAGTTACCTCGAGTTTCTTCAGCATTTCTGCGAATCTGGCAAACTGACTATCTTCGCTATGCTTCCTCAGACGCGATGGGAATGGTATCGGTGGTGGTCTAGGAGGAGGAGACACGTAAACTGGTACAGGAGTATTGTCAGGAATATCTGAAACTTTGGTCTTCGAGCTTTCGCCTTGCTCATCCATCGGTGAGTTTCCAGAGTCTACCTGCTTACCATTTCGCAGAGTAATAACATTAACATGTTCACGAGAGTTGGTCTCAGGTTTACCTGGAAGAACACCGGACGGTCTTTGGGAGTCTGCTGCGAGCTGGGCAATCTGATTGTCCACTACCTTAAAGTGGGCGTCAATACTCGCAAATTGAGTGCGGAATTCCTGAGTCTGCTTCTCATGTGCCTGAATGAGCTGTTGAAGAAGAGCATTTGTATCTTGAGAATGTTCGCGATTACCCGGAGGTGTAGGATTATTGTACGACTGTCCCGGGGCTCTGTAGTTGGAGTTCTGATTAGGGCCTTTGGATTGAAAAGCAAAGCCGGGTGGAATCCTCTGGTTTGGATTGTTGGATGGTCTAAAGTTGTTCGGTGTGGGATTCTCAACATTGTTCGACTTGTAGGAGAGATTTGGGTGATTCCTCCAGCTTGAGTTGTACGAGCCCATGTAGTTATTGTTGGCCACGTAGTTCAGATCTTCAACCCTCTCCTCAATCGCATAAAGACCATGATCCTCCTGTGGATATGTCGGGACATCTGTGGTAGAAATCAGATTGGCGCTTGCAAATTTAGCATTAAGTACTGTCAACTGATCAAGAACCGTCTTTAGGCTGGGGTCGCCTTCTCGCTTTGGTATATCGCGAGAATATTCGTTCGGGACGTCTTCTTCTTGAGCCATCATCTTAATGTGCTGTTCCAATTCTGTGAATGACTTGTTTTGGATGCTGCCACCGCAGGAGGCGCGGATCAAAGTCTTGGTATCACTGCGGAGTCCTCGAAAGAAAGTGTTGATCAGATAATTCTTGTCGAGTCCATGATGAGGGCATGATTTCTGATATCCCTTGTATCTTTTCCAAACGTCGTGTAAACTCTCCCTTTGATCCTGCTTAAACGAATGTATACCGGAGAGAGCTGCTTGAGTGCGATGGGTTGGAAAGAACTTAGACATGAACTGGACCTCCAACTGATCCCAGGTATGGATAGAATCAGGGGCTAAGTCGTATAGCCATTCCAGTACAGCATCCATGAGAGTCCAGGGAAAAGCGAGTAGACGGAGGTCATCGTCCGTCACCCTGGCCTCTCTTTTGATCGAGCGACACATCATCTTGAAACGCGTAAGATGTGCGTTCGGGTCTTCGTTTGGCCTACCCCGGAAGGAATTATTGCTAAGCATCTGAATGGTAGCCGGGTTAAGCTCAAAACGAGTCACGTCAATGGTTGGCAGTCGTATACCGGCCATAAGCTCGGTGTGCTTCGGTGTGTTGTATTGAGCGAAAGTTGAGTCAACATTGCCTTCGGCATCACCGGAAAAAGCAAGATCTCGATCGTTCTCCATTTGCCTCTGTTGTCGACGGATGCGGGTAATGGTCCTTTCAAGTTCAGGATCAAAAGGCACTAGGTTTGATGTCCCAGCACTTCTGGTCATGCACTAGGAAACCCTGCACACAACGAAAAACAACAGACAAACGAAAAAGAAACGTGAGAAATCACTTAAGAAAAAGAAAAACAAAAAGATCAAGACTAGATAGGATCTAATCCTGTTGCCTAAATTATCCCCGGCAACGGCGCCAAAAACTTGATGTCAGAAATCTAGGCGAATAAATTCGATCAAGTTATAATATCCTAGACTCAACAATTAACCGCAAGTGTACGGATCGTGTGTAGTAGCTAGGGTCGAATACAAGGACAAAATTAAGCGAAGGAGTTAAACCCAAATCCAAATCTAAATCTAAGAAAAATAATAGGAATGTGGAGAATGGAATGTCAAGAACAAAGCAATTAACTAAACGGTTGTAGACAATCAATGGAAAACACTGCAGGCTTCGTGATTGCTTTACATGCAAGGATCTTCTCTAAAGATGCAGATTCTGTGGTTTCTAAATCCAATTTAGGGAATTCAAGCTCTAAAATAGAAATAAATCTCTCGAGTCTAACCTCACTATCCAGGCTTTATCCTACTAACCTCTCGATTCAATAGTCTAAACCCTGGATGCATAAACGAACGCTATCATAATTCCTAGGCAAATATTCATCTCTCGATGCAATACCTGTTCCATTTACTGAGTTATTTCCAGGTTAGAATTCCATATGTCTATGCGAATTAAAACCCTAAGTTCATTCAATCAAATGGCCAACAAGATCAAACACATTAAGAACAACTCAATAAACTGAATCAAATAAATAATACCATATAGTCTGGAATTATAAAAACCAAAGATCCCTACATAGCAAATCCCTAACCCGCAGCAAGGGGACTACTCGCTACGCATCGAAACGACAGGGTTCATATCAATACAACAAGACATTGTAAAATAGAATAAGGAAGAAACTCTTAGTCAATTTCTCGGCTTCGTGATCTCCGTCTTCTACTCCAATCTCTCGCTTCCTGATAATCTCCCTCTTTTCTCTGCTCTTGGGTGACTATTCTGCTCAAAATTCGGAATGCCTTGAAACCTAGAAGCTTTCTCCCTTTTATTTCTTTCTTTTTTGGCCGAAATAAGAATGTTTCCAAAAACTTCGCCTGAGAACCGATCGTTTCTTCATATGATGAACCGATCGGTTCATATTTCTGATCCAGATTTTCAATTTCCGCAAATCGAACCGATCGGTTTTCTCAGAATGAACTAATCGGTTTCGCCTTCTGAGTGATTCTTCTGTTCTTGTTCAAGAGGCGAAACGATCGTTTCGGAATGCCCTGAAACGATCGGTTCTTGCTTCTGATTCCGCATTCGGTTGGTTTTCGCTCATTTTTCCGCTCGTAATGCGTAGTACCTGTAAAGATTAAACCAAAGCGAAATCGAAGCTAAACACGCACTTAAACGTCTGAGATATCATAAAGTCAGGTAAATGTGTCGGACGAATCATATAAAAATCCATGATATATTGTGTGTTATCAGCAGTGGTCTCTAAAGCATAGCCCCAAAAGGACTTCGGAAGATCTGTCTGACTCATCATAGACCGAATCATATCTAACAATGTTCGGTTCCTCCGTTCAGACACGCCATTCCATTCTGGCGTTCCAGGAGGAGTTAATTGTGATACAATACCACAATCAACCAGATAGGTAGTGAATTCTTGGCTCATATACTCGCCACCACGATCGGATCGAAGTGTCTTGATCGTCTTTTCCAACCGGGTCTGTACTTCGTTTCTGAAAGCCTTGAACATTTCAAGTGTTTCAGACTTATGTCTCATCAAATAGACATAACCGTATCGACTGAAATCATCAGTGAACGTAACGAAATACAGATAACCTCCTCTAGCTGGACAGCTCATTGGTCCGCATACATCACTATGTATGAGAGCCAATAACTCCGTCGCTCTCTGTCCTTTTCCCTTGAATGGATGCTTTGTTATCATACCCATCAAACAAGACTCACAAGATTCAAGAGACTCAAAGTCAAATGAATCCAGAAGACCTTCATAATGAAGCCTCTGAATGCGCTTCTCGTTTATATGGCCTAGACGACAATGCCAGAGGAAGGTCGGGTTTAAGTCATTCGGCTTAAACCGTTTAGTACTCACGCTATAGATGGATGATGTCGAGTTCGACGGCTGATCATTCAAGACGTATAAACCATTAACTAGATAACCATTACCATAGTAAATATCATCTTGATAAATCATCAAACTCGAGTTCTCAATCACAAATCGAAAACCATCCAAATCAGGACATGAAATAGAAATAATGTTTCTGCTAATCGCAGGAACATTCGAGTTCGAAGGCTGATCATTCAAGACGTATAAACCATTAACTAGATAACCATTACCATAGTAAATATCGTCTCGATAAATCATCAAACTCGAAGTTCTCAATCACAAATCGAAACCATCCAAATCCAGACAAGAAATAGAAAAAATGTTTCTGCTAATCGCAGGAACATAGTAACAATTACTTAATTCTAAAACAAGTCCAGAAGGAAGATGCAAATCATAAACGCCAACACATAATGCAACAACTCTTGCTCCATTTCCGACGCGTAGATCCGCATCTCCTTAGCCAGCATCCTACTTCTTCTTAGTCCCTACACATTTCCACAAATGTGTGAGGCACTTCCAGTATCCAATACCCACGAAGATGTAGTACAGATGTTAGCTTCTATAACATGAATACCCGAGGCAGAAGCTTCACCAAGCTTCTTATCCTTCAGATCCTCCAAGTAAAGGTGACAATTACGCTTCCAGTGTCCAGACACTCCGCAGTAATGACAGTCACCCTTATCGGGCTTAGGCTTAGGCGTACTTTTGCCTTTTTCGCCGCCTTCTTTTTGGCTTTGCCCCGCCGCTTCTTGCTGGAGTTGTTCTCAACAACAAGCACAGTCTTGGGCACCACGATATCCTGCTCGGCTGATTTCAGCATCCCATGCAGTTCGGCTAAGCTCTTAGTCATCACGTGCGTATGGTACTGCAAAACGAACTGGTTATAGTCCTCGGGCAATGACATCAGGATCAAGTCTGCAACCAAGTCACCATCGAGCTTCACTCCCATACGCTCAAGTTATTCAACATGAGCTCTCATGTTGAGGACGTGGGTGTTGACAGAGCTACCTCTCGGCATCTCCGTCTTCACTAGAGCTTTCAGCGTCTTGTACTTTTCAGTACGCGCTAACTCCTCAAACATGGTCTTGAGCTGATTGATCATATCAAACACGTTCTTCCCCTCAAATCTGCAGATTCGGGGTCATGCTTCCCAACATGAGACAGGAGATCTCATTGTCGTCAGTCTGATGCTTCAACCAAGCATCTCTGACGGCTCTCGTGGCATTGGCCGCAGGTTCTGGTGGTAGAGCCCCTTCCAGTACGTACGACTTCTTATCGTGCTTGAGAACAATTCTCAAGTTCCAATACCAGTCTAAGAAGTTCGTCCCGGTCAACTTATCCTTCTCAAGGATAGATCGCATCGTCAAACACGGTACGCTACCGGTTGACGCCATGTCCTACAGAAAAAGACAAACAGAACGAACAAAAACAAATGTAGATTTTATCAATGATCTACTACCAGCTAGTCCATCATCAATCAATGACAACATAGATACAAACACAAGCTATCTTCCCATAAAGAAAACTAACCCTACAATAATTTTCTATATGGGACTAAGATCCGTATTTCACATAAGAATGAGTTGTTACACTCAGCCTTACGCTATTTAGGTAGACATCTAATGTCAGTCATATCCAATATGACTCTTAGATCCTTTATGAGACTATGATATCAAATATCATTGTATACTTGTCTCATGTGTACCATTAAGTCTCAAGTCAAACTTGATAACTTAACCTAAGGTAAACCATGTTCAAGCTGTGGGAACCACAATTTCCCACCCTGTCTCACAAAGATAATCCGGCACGCTCAGCTTTGGCATGACCCGTGTTACGGATGATCGATGCCTTGACAGGCGCTCTAGTAATGGGAGGTACACGCTTAGCATTACATAAATAAGGGATTTTCGAAACCACACTTAAATCAAGCATCTACTTTCAAGCTATGAGAACCACCATTTCTCCTTCTTGCCTCACCAAGATAGCACGGCACACCCAGCTTTGGCATGGCCCATGACACGTACGATCGAGGTCTTGACAAGTGCTTTACTCGTAGAGCTACTAGATCTAACCGATTTTTGTGCAACGATTGTACGTAATCCAAATAGACCATCCATTCGATTATGTATTCCCAATTCCGAAGCTCCCACTCAATCAAACATATGCTATATCTTGATCAAGTTACATGCATTCATTCACTATGGACCATCCTTAAGAATGAATCATGTCTATTTGAGTTACAGTTGATCAGATTAAGCAACGATTGTGTAATCGGACCTAGAAAACGAAAAATTTTCGGAGTCTGGACCTCGGACCGTCCGTTCTGGAGGCAGAACGGACGTTCCAGGCTTGCAGAACGATCGGTCTGAACCAGCCGGAACGGACAGTCCGCAGCAGACGGAACGGACGGTCCAGAGCGGACCATCCGTTCTGATATGTGCAGTCCGCCACCCCGGACCGTCCGGTCTGGCTTACCCAGAACGGACAGTGTAGGGTTCGTTTACATGATCAGATCATGTTCTCCGGCGTTCTTGGCCCCGATCAGACCCGAAACTTATCCGAATTCTTCTGTACACCCAAAATTCGAACTCCTGCACTCTATGCAATATGAAACATGCAATCTACACTAGATTCAATCATCAAACATGCATAGAAAGCAAAGCAAACATGGATTCAAACAATTCAAATCCTAAAACGTGCGTGATAGGGTTATACGAAATCAAAACAGAGCAACCAGACTCTGATATCACTGATGGGATTCCTGGGATCTCTAGAGCGAATCTTATTCCTAAGAGATCGATTCTAGGGTTTGCGCAGCGGATATAAAACAAAATTTGAATGAAACCCTAGAACCATGCTTCTATGAATCGTAGAAACGTTAGAACG